CCAGTGCTCCGTGCGGTACATAGCCCTATGACTCATTAGTTGTAGATATGACTCAGACTGGATTTGGGTATAAATACTGTAGCTACTTGGTTGTATTCTCCAGTCTTCGAATTCACTTCTCTTTTCGACTTCATTTTTGGGTTGATTGTCACACCTGGAGATTGAAGGCAGAGTGTGATCAAAGTTTGAGGTAACAGAAGAGAGCATCAGTACTGAGGATTTCATAGAATCTGTGTGCTCTTTTTGTAAGTTACATTGCACAATGTAGCATGTCAGTAGCATCTTGGAAAAATATGTCTGCTTCAGGTGCTAGGAGTAATTTTAAGGGATTTCAAGTTCAAGGAAATGTCAGGGGATGACATGTCAGCATGATGATATCATTGGGTATTGATCCAGTCGTGTTCCGGCAGTGTTCCAATGGATAGTAGTCAGCAGTGTCATTCCTCTTATGTCATCTACTTGTATATCGGTAGTCGCTGAGGATCTCTGATTCCCAGTCTTGTTATCAACTTGGCCCCTGGGCTCTACTCCCCTTACAGGAAACAGATTTAGATGCACAAGATTGTCAAAATGGTTTGGGAGACAGCGTGAGCAATAAGGATGTGTTGAGACTCTTAGAACAACCAAAAGAATTCATTGTTGTCACTATGTACTTACTAGTGGTGCATATTTATGAGGCCATGTCTCAGAGAATGAGTTCTAGTAAATACCTGCTTGCTAGTGAGCCATTTCAACACCAATTTAAGCACCCATTCTGATTCAAATATGGCAGCCAAGTCTTTAAACTTCAAACAATGGCATTCTCTTGAACACAGCAAGCTAGAGAGAAGCAGAGAATTATGAGCTTGGGTGTGGCAATTTATGAGCATGAAAATGGGAATGACACATCTGCTAAGATCAACTTTGCATGAAAATGAGAGGTAACAAGAGTTGTTGTTGTGTATGTGTTTCTCTGATTTCACCACATGTGATTGCATGTGCAAAACACATATCATCTTGAAAACAGTTGGCTGGGTCCTAACACTGGATCAGGAAGCATCCCTGACAGGAGATGGGCTTGATTTTAGCTACTGCCTTTCTAGGCCTATGTGACAAAACTTTTTCAAGACTCTCTTTTGAAGGAGGAAACTTTTTTTTTCAGGGGACGTTGGTAGCATTCAGATATCTAACATAGTTACATACACAAAGCCCATAATTTTGAGGCCTTGGACTATTGACCTGGCCTAATAGAGGAATTACATGTGAGAAAATGTGCTTGTAACTGTTGTTACAGTTACAATACACCTGATTACCGCAATACCTGTGTGGGGATCTGGTGTAAGCTGCTCTAGAGCTGGTGTTGAACCGTCTCCTTCCTCGTGACTCATCTGACACCCACTAAAACCCCACCTCCCTTAGTCCAATCCTCAGAGAGATGTACCTTGTTTTGCAGCATTTTTGCTTCCAAGTCTTCCAGACCAGTGAAGCTTTGATACTCTTCAAGCCGTATTTTGCTGTGTTTGTTAACATGCAGTTGATGAGTAGTCTCATATTCATCTTGTTTAATCATCTGTTTTTGGCTTTTGTTGCTGACATCTTGTCTTTTCCTTGTATGACTTGCTCACATTGCATTCTCCAGATGAGATGTGCTGATTCAGATATGAGGATCTGGTGAAGCCTGGTATGTCCTGTTTCTTTCAGTTTCAATGTGCTGCACACCATCAGCTTGCCCTTGGATGGTTCTAGTGCCTCACTGGTTTTCTTTTGCCACATCTCTTATACTAGCTTCCAGATGGTTCACTGTGTTTGAGCGGTGAAATGCTGAGGGCGCGCTCACAGGTGAATCTACTATGAAAGTAAACTCAAATATAGACACGTTCACACTCCTCGTAATCAGCTTCTCAGTGTGTGAAAGATGCGAGGGCATCAAGGTGGACAGAACACCAGTATCACAACTCTCAATAGACGCAGATCCAATAGTCGCGGAAGACGAAGTCGACGACAAGAATATATATATATAGCAAAACAATGGTGTCTCGACCAATATCTTCTATACAGTCAAATCCGACACTAATCCAACCACAACCAACAATATCACAAGTCAGAGCTTAATACTAGGTATTAAAATCCCTTGTAGCAACAGCGTCCAGATGGTGACGCAAAGCCCAAATACTGAGTTGACGCACTGCCGACTAGTAAAACCAAAATGCCGTGTCGACGCACTGCCAACTAACAGCCAATGTCCAAATGTCCAAAACCCAAGCACAACTTGTCAATGCACTGCCAAACAAGAAGTGTGGAACCAAAGTTCTCAAGTCGACGCACTGCCAACTGACCAAAACTACCCGAGCACAACTAGTTGACGCACTGCCAAACTAGAGGTGTGGAAAACAATCTCAACAAAGCCCAAAGGCAACGACACTAAGTGCCGCAACTGAACCAGAAGCGGTGAATCCAACTTTCTGATATCTCAAAACTCAAACTCAAATCACAGTAGCTACAAGTGCTCAGGGAGCAACTCGTCGCAACCAGGCAGGGGTAACAGAACTTCTTAGGGTGGAATCACGCAACACGCAAATTGCACAAAACAATCCGATATGAGAATGATTCACAGTCCGGGGGGAAGCTCCCTAATACAAAGAAATGACGCGCTACTTATACTGTCTACAACAATGCTTAGTAAAGTCCTGTACAACTGCATAGTAGCTATGATATCTAAGATTGGTTGCTTTTTATGGTAATGAGAAAGTTGAACAATCAGACAGGTCCTGACTGATCAGGACCCCGCCCCATAGTCCATATGGTACTTTTGATGTGGGTCAACCCACCGCGTCATACTTTCGGAATACAACGTGCTGGATTGGCCAACTGGTATGTCTTGGCAAGTGAGTCCAACATGGGTGCCACAAGAAGCCGTATGGCCCTAGGCACGCCAGACGCTCCTCACATGGTTTGGTTCACGGATCTAGCCCGTGTTGATTTTAGTGTGTTTGGGTATGGGGGCGACTTGCCGTGACACTTGGAAGTGTCACCGCAACGCGTCCACAATGTCCCGTGATCAAATGGATCCTGACATGTGACAAGCTGTTGCCGTGGCATGATCTGAGGAAACGTCTAACCCAAAACCGGGAGTTGCCGCGACAAGACCAGTTCAATCTTGTAACGCCAAGTCCTGTCCAGTAGTAGTTGTAATATTGAGAACGTCGCACATTGCTAAGCCCTTCAGCCCAAGTTCCCATCTGCAGAGAATGACCCTTTTGAGGAGTCGCCGCAACAAAGTATCCCTTTTTGGGGAATTGTTGCGGCCCAAGTGTTTGTCACTAATAGCCCTGAGCCTGGTGTAGACCCATAAGACCAATTCCACAGTAGTGGTCTGACTGCCTTGCTATTGTCGACACTATCCACAGTCGTCAACTGGGCAGTAGACCCTTAAGTCCTACTGAGCGCAACACTGTCACCCGCGACACGATACACCAAGTGGTTCGGGAGTAAACTCTGTAAAAGCGCAAAAATACGCCCTTATAGAGCTGGTGCAGAGCACGTCTGGTAGCCAGCCTATCACCGTTTTTGGTTCTGATTCTCTGTTGGGTCATGTGGTTTTTGTGATCTTCTGGTTGCTTTTGTCTTGGGTCCCATTTTGTTGATGTCGCGCCAGCGTCGCACCCGGATGACGGTCAGAGACAGGGAACAAAACTCTCGAATTCATACACAAACAAATATACACATACAGTCAGGATGTGATATTCTAACACATTTTGGGTCCAGAGTGTCGAGCATGTCTTTTGCTTTCTGGAAGCACTTGTGCAGTGTGTTGCATTTTGTTATAGCTCTTGTGATCTGACATGAGTTAGATCTGCAGTCTCGACAGTTTGTGTGTTGTCTCAAGCCTAGTTTGTGTGCTAGGAGCATCACGTCCTGAACCTTCTTGATGTGGTTTTTTCCTTTAGGAACCACACTATGTGTACATTAGTGGCCCAGAATCTAGGGCTGGGAGTATTTGCTTTTGCATGGTACTAAATTGGCATGTTTTCCATTATTTCTTGGGAGACTGCTATGGCATCTAGTTGTATGCCATTCTTAGCACCTGTCTCTGTCATCCTTGCCAGGTCTGGTCTGATTTTTCTTGCTGACACTTTGTGCTTTCATGTTTAGAGGTATGAGTTTATCCATACGGACTCTTCTACGTTGTCACTGTTATCATCTGTTGAGATATGGTGCGCTAATAGTTTGTCCATCACAAAGCACCATAATGGTCTATCTGGGCCAAATTTCAGGTACGTTTTGAGCCACATAATTGCAGTTGCTTCATTCCTTGCAACAATGTCAAGCAGGTCTCTCCCTCCCATTCCTATGGGTGCGTATACCGTTTTTTGGTTCACTGTTACCTTGTCTTTTTCTGCCCACAAGAATTTTCGGATGTGCTTTTCTGGTCTGGCTTCTACCTCTTTTGGCATCCCCTGCACTGTGGTGAGGTATTGTGTCATCCCTCCTACCACCATTAGGATTATCAGACGGTGGCCTTCCATGCATGGGTTGCCTTGGTCCTAGTGGTCCAGTGATTTATCAATCTTTTTGAGTGTCCTGTTCCATGTGTCTACTTGTTCTACCTTGTTTCTGATCCATGCGCCTAGGACTGGCTCACCTTCCTTTGCTATTCTGATGTGGTCTGAGATTGTGGTACCGTTTATTCTGTTTACAAAGTGGTTTGCTCTGACCTTGTCCCTATGGTTGATTGTCCCGATTGGGATCATCTCTGTCTTGTTTATGTTGAAACTTGCTCCAGACGCAATACACCATTCATCTATTATCTTCAATAGCTTTCCAAAGTCATCTTGCTGTCATAATTCGGCCACTTTTTATCTTATCTTCGACAATCTCATCTTATCTTGGCACGACTTATCTTATCACGGATCACGGCATTAGACGGTCCGGGTTAGGGGTTCCAGGGGTTATCCTTATCAATTCAAGGCTGCGCGACATATGCTCCGGAAGGTTCTACTACAACCCATGACCAGTGCTCCATGCGGTACATAGCCCTATGACTCATTAGTTGTAGATATGACTCAGACTGGATTCGGGTATAAATACTGTAGCTACTTGGTTGTATTCTCCAGTCTTTGAATTCACTTATCTTTTCGACTATTGTTTTTGGTTGATTGTCACATAATTCGAAGACTCCCCTCATACCCTTGTACCTCTTACCTCCTACCCTGCCCCCGCACCGCTACGCCTGCTATATCCTCTTCACCTTTATCACCCCACTCACCCTTTTACCGAATCATCTAGTCGCTCACCGCGATCGCAGTGAAGGGTTCATATCAAGCAAACAGCACCAGGCCACAGGTAACGTTGAGCCCGACCCAAGCCTTACGGTAGCTACAAGGAGTGCTGCGGAGACCTTCGGGAAAACGCACCTCGGGATCATCAGGCACGTGAAGAGCTAGGCCTGGGATCTTTTTGCTAGCAAAAGAACCTTTCCTCGAGTGCTTGTACAGCACACGAATCCACCATTTCGTACCGATTCCCATCATCATCTAGGAGTCCATCCCCTCCCCCCATCATACCATCGTCGCCCGATCTGGCGCATCAAAACCAACCCGGGCCCTCCAACCCCTATCTTGCCCTCCCGCCGCCTGAAGACGAGATCCCGGACCTCGACGAGTTGCCCTCTGAACAACCACCCTCACCCCCACCTACCGCACCTGCTCATACCATGTCAGGACACCATTGCATCACCCTCGCCGCCAACCCTCCCTATTTTGATGGGGACAAATCCAAATATCTGGGCTTTGTAGACTTGTGCACCACCTACATTGGTGCCTACCGATCAGAGTTCTCGCAGGATGAGACCAAAATCCTCTTCGTCCTCTCCTACCTCCGTAACGAGAACGGCACGAGCTGCGCTGCCTCACGATGGGCGATGAACTGGAAGCAGCACAACTTCAATGGCTTCCAGGGACTGAAGGCAGGAGTCACATCAAAGAATTTCCTGGAGGAGCTTCAGAGGGCCTTTGGGGACTCCAATGCAGAACAAGTCGCCGCTGCTTGACTCATGGCCCTGCGCCAGAACAAACGGTCCTTCGCGGACTACATCTCCGACTTTGAGATGTTGGCCTCGGATGCGGGATACAATGTGGTTGACACCACCGACGATAAGGGCGAATACAAGAAGGGAGACCAAGACAATATCCTCATCGAGTTCCTGGAGCGCGGACTCAGTAGCGAGATTGCCAGCCGTCTCTACAACACTGGTGTTCCTCTGCCCAAGGCCTATGGAGCGTTCAAAGCCTGGTGCATCAACATCGAGGCGAACGCTCTACGCGATCAGCTGCGCAAAGCATCGCACGCACACTCCGCACCACAACCGCCTCCCCAATTCCGCCCGCAGGCAGCCCCAATGACACCTGCACCCGCCCCGGCCCGACCCGCTGCCAACGAACCAGTTCCGATGAAAATTGATCGCACCCACACCCGCGGCCGCAATATCATCTGCTACAACTGTCAGCAGCCTGGGCACATTGCGCGGAACTGTCCGGAGCCAAGGAAGAAGCGCACATTCTTCAATCGGGCCACGATGCTGGAAGAGATCGAGAACGGGGACAAGGACAACAAGTTCCTCAAGGAGATTGCTGAGAAGCTGCGCAAGAAGGGTTTTTGAAGCGCTCCACTCCTCTAGCCAAGGAGGTGGAGCGTCCGGACTATGGACGTTTTTCTGTACTTGTTTCGATTAAAGACATGAACGATTCTACACATGCATACACGATCTCGGACTCACTACGTACCAATATTCACGATTTTCTCATTGCTGATATGGAAAAAGAACGCCAAGGAAAAATAGCTTTAAATAGAGAGTATTTACAAAGTAAAAAGGATCGGAAAGCTGCAGATAAATTAATTTTGGATTCCTACGTATTTATGGCTCGTGGAGAAGAAACCACGTCAACAAAGACCGAAAAGGGGAGCACCGCTCGGAAGGCTCAATCCTTGGAAAAGGAGGAAGCGCCCAAGGAATCTGCCGAAATCAGGATTCCAGAAGCACCCAAACGCACGAGGGTGCCGGATGCCGTTCAAAGGAAATTGGCGGCCAAGAAACAGAAGGGCCCCCAGCCCAGCAGGTTGGCGCAGGAATTGCGCAGTTACCAGGCTGAGAGGAAGAGGCATTCAATGGACGTATATGTTCAGATCACGGGTCTGGACTCAGGGAAAACGCACGGAGTCAAGGCGCTGCTCAATAGCGGCTGCAGTACCTGCTGCATTGATACCGACTACGCACGGGCGGAGAAGTTGGATGTCCAAGAGCTTCCACAACCCATTGTGGCTTGTAATGCCGACAACACTGAGAACATCAGCGGTCGGATCACGCACTACGTCGATCTGAGGATGAGAATCGGTCCTCATGTGGAGACACGCACGTTCCTTCTGACGTGCTTAGGGAAAGCCCGGATCTTCATCGGTCTTGATTGGCTGATGGAACACAACCCCGAGGTGGATTGGCAGGAGCAGACGATGAGGTTCAGCCGATGCCCAGAGCAGTGTCACATGAGGGGTCACGAGGAACATCAAGCGATGATTGACATGGATGCAATCAACCTGGACATGGGCACACCAGATCTGGAAAAGGGAGAATCGATCCTGTTGGTCGATTTTGGGAAGGAAGTGGACCTGCGGCTGAAGGAAACACCGGCGCAGAAATTCGCAGAAGAAGCAGAAAAGGAGAAGGAGAGAATGACCGAGGGAAAGATTCCGGATCAATATCGGGAATTTGTCAAGGTATTTGCCAAGGAATCGTTCGACTCGCTACCGGACCGACGGACATGGGATCATGCGATTGAGCCCAAACCTGGTTCCAAAGCAGTGGACTGCAAGGTGTACCCGTTATCACGCAATGAACAAGTCAAACTCGATGAATTCTTACAAGAAAACCTGGCCAGCGGACGGATTAGACCATCAAAATCACCCATGGCATCAGCATTCTTCTTTGTCAAGAAGAAGGATGGTTCACTACGCCCCGTCCAAGATTATCGGAAGCTGAATGAGATGACAATCCGGAATTGATACCCGCTGCCGCTGATCTCCGAACTGGTCCATAATCTATGCGGTGCAAAGTTCTTCACCAAGCTCGACATCCGGTGGGGATATAACAATGTACGGATCAAAGAGGGCGACAAGTGGAAGGCTGCATTCCACACAAACCGAGGGCTGTATGAGCCCTTAGTTATGTTCTTTGGTCTCACGAATTCCCCGGCAACGTTCCAAAACATGATGAACGACATACTCCGAGAGTTGATCAACGAGGGTCACGTGGTAGTTTATCTGGATGATATACTGATCTTCACAGAGAGCTTGGACGAACATCGGCGGATCACGAAACGAGTGCTCGAATTGCTCCAGAAACACAAGCTATACCTGAAGCCCGAAAAAGTGCGAGTTCGAACGCACAGAAATCGAATACTTGGGTGTAATTATTGGACACAATTCGATGCAGATGGACCCAGTCAAGATCAAGGGCGTGATGGAATGGCCGGAACCAAAAAGTGTCAAACAAGTCCAAGCGTTTCTAGGGTTCACAAACTTCTATCGACGCTTTGTCCGGGGATACGCGGAGGTTGCCAAGCCATTGACTCGACTGACAGGGAAGGCAGGATGGTCATGGGGTACGGATGAGCGTGCAGCATTTGATGGGTTGAAGAAGAGAATCGCAGAGGATGCGGTCTTAGCGCTGCCAAACAACACCGGCCAATATCGTCTGGAAGCCGATGCTTCAGAAGGGGCAACAGGATCCGTTTTGAGCCAAAACCAAGACGGCATTTGGCGCCCAATCGCATTTATTTCGCACGCATTGACCAAAACCGAGCGAAATTATGAGATCTACAACAAGGAAATGCTTGCAATCATGTTATCGCTTGACGAATGGAGGCAGTTGCTCCTGGGAGCCACGGAAACATTTGAGATCTTCACCGATCATCAGAATCTCGAGTACTTTCGGAAGCCGCAGAAGCTCAATTGATGGCAAGCATGATGGATCACGGAGTTGGCGGAGTTTGATTTCACCTTACGACACCGGCCCGGCGCACTCAACCGCAAGGCGGATCTCTTATCTCGACAAGCGGATCACGATCAGGGCAAGAATGACAACAAGGACGTCACCCTACTGAAGCCTGAGTTCTTCCGATCGCAAGAAGTCACATTTGAGGGACAAGATCAGCAGCTAGTTGATGAGATCAAGGCCACTAGATCAATTGATGGAAGCGTCAGGGCGGCCTTGGAGAAGTCACTTGCTGGATGGAAAAAGGAGGACAGGTTCATCACGTACCATGGGAAACTCTACGTACCGAGGGACGAGGAACTGCGAGACAAGATCATCGGACTACACCACGACACACCCTTGGTCGGACACGCTGGGATCAATCGAACGCAGGAAATGGTGGAAAGGAACTACTGGTGGCCAAGGATGGGAAACCAAATCCGGAAATACATCCAGACGTGCGAGGCGTGCCAGCGGACCAAGACCAGGAGAGCAAGGACAGGGACTCTGCACCCGCATGCAGTCCCAAATGCACCGTGGGAAATCATCTCCATGGATCAAATTGGACCCCTACCAGTCAGTAACGGGTATGACGCAATTCATGTGTGGTGTGACACCTTCACCAAAATGATCCGTGTCGAACCAATTAGTACTGACATCAGCAGTGAAGGAGTCGCACGATTAACCAGGGACCAAGTCTTCCACTATCACGGGATCCCCCGCAAGATCATCACCGACAGGGATTCACGTTACATCAAAGGCTTCATGAAGGAGACAAATCGGATGTTGGGCGTGGAAATGAATCCGGGGACCGCATATCACCCGATCACAGATGGACAAACGGAACGCATGAATCAGGAGATCGAGCATTATCTCCGCATCTACGTCAATTACCATCAGACGGACTGGTCGGAGTGGCTGGGAATGGCGGAGTTCGCATACAACGACAAGATGAACACGTCTACCAAAATATCACCGTTCTACGCCAATCACGGATATCACCCATGGAAGGAAGTGGAACAACGGATGGAATCGAGGAACGAGTCGGCGGAGGAGTTTGTAAAAAGAATCAAAGAAATACAAGACGAAGCAAAAGCAGCATTGGAAAAAGCAAAAGGAAAAATGAAAAAATACTACAATAAACAAAGAAAAGAAGTTCCGGAGTTGAAGGTTGGGATGAAGGTGTACATAGAAGGGGAAAATATCAAGACGGATGGACCATCAAAGAAGATGAGCGACAAGAGATTAGGACCATACGAGATACTGGAGAAGGTTGGAGCGGCCGCATGGAAGCTGGATTTGCCAGACACGGACCGAAGACACCCGGTGTTCAATGAGTTACTGACCCTAGAGAGGGGGTAATGTCATAATTCGGCCACTTTTTATCTTATCTTCGACGATCTCATCTTATCTTGGCACGACTTATCTTATCACGGATCACGGCATTAGACGGTCCGGGTTAGGGGTTCCAGGGGTTATCCTTATCGATTCAAGGCTGCGCGACATATGCTCCGGAAGGTTCTACTACAACCCATGACCAGTGCTCCATGCGGTACATAGCCCTATGACTCATTAGTTGTAGATATGACTCAGACTGGATTCGGGTATAAATACTGTAGCTACTTGGTTGTATTCTCCAGTCTTTGAATTCACTTATCTTTTCGACTATTGTTTTTGGTTGATTGTAAGGGCAACTCCTGCCAGCCCGAAGGAAGAGAGCACACAGCACACAACAACCTCACATGAGTCTGAGCACAGAGGGGGATCCTTAGAGACTATCAAATACAAGGGAGGTATACTACTCACCTGAGCACAGAGGGGGATCCTTAGAGAACGGTTCAAGGATCCATGTGCCCAGGTGTCACACTATATAGTCAGCTGTGACAAGTGACCGATGATGATGGGATATCACTGCCATGGAACAATGGCAGATGACAAGTAGATAATGACAAACCCAGATAAGATAGTGAGTGGCTCAGAGGGGCCAGTGATGGCCAGCTCCTGAGACACCAACAGTGGAAGGCCACACTGGAGGAGCCCAGTGGCCAGGCCAGTGCCGGGCCGGCCAGTGGAGACATCGGAGGCGAGGACCAATGCCCGACTGGGAAGAGGGGTGGTGCGGATGAGCGCAAGGGCATCTGGTACGAGCCTGTACGGCAGTAGACCACATCCGCGGGGAGAAGGCCGAAGTGAAGGGGGAGGAGTGCGTACGGCAGTAGCACTCCCTGGTGCAAGGAATCGGGCTTGGCTAGACCGCTTGCGGGGATTTGAGGGAGATGGCCGGGAGAAGGAGGGAGAGGGCGGATGTCGGCATGGATGGAGATGAGGATCGGAGGAGGAGGAGGAGGCTGGGTGATCGACAGGTGAGCAGGCACGGGTCGGCAGAGAGGGCGCAGTGGGTCACGTGCATGGTCACGTGCCCAAGGAGCGCGGCGTCCCCTGACATCATCCCCCCTTCAAGCTACGGCGTCCCGACGTAGGCAGCGCGAAGCAGATGGGAGAAAGGGGAGGGTGGGTGGGGAAAAAGAAGGACGCACTACTCCAGTGGGATGCTGCGCATCCTACTCTGTCGTCCGGTGCGTCGTCACTGAGCTGCGTGTCAGCTCCCTATGACCTAGTGGTCGGTCACTGTC